TCGCTTCGCCTGCGAGGAGCCATTCTCATACCGTTTTAATTAGTTAGTAACACACCAGCAATTGTCTTTCTTTAAAGATCATCATCGTGCATGTTCTTTGTGCCTGCGAAGCTTTGTGATGATGTTGCAGGGCTGAATTAGTGCTGCTTTCTTTGCAGTTCAGTTAAACGTTCAGAGGATGTTTGTTAGCATGCTTCCCTCTCCGTGAGGCAGGTCCCAGGGAAGACGTGGAAGGAGCCGGGAGAACCGCGGGAGAAGGGCCGAGGGAGCCTTAAGGGGCCAGGGGTCATGGTGGCAGGGGGCACGTGGCCCCCAAATCCAAAGCACTTACGGCTGCAGTACGTCTGCTGCTGCTGCTGTTGGAACAACTCGTTTTTGAAGGATATGCTCCGTTATATGTGCCACCATGGGGAAAAAGCATCCACGGGGATGCTTTTTCTGCAGTGCCATGCCTTAATTTGCAGTATTGCAGAGGGTTGGATGGGCAAAGGGTAACGGTGCTGATTCAAGTAAGCAGGAATTACCAGCAGCTGCAATGGGCACCTACCAGTTCAAATTTCAGTTTCCAGCCTGCAACACCAGCTTTTCACCGTCCCGAGAGTTTGGTTAAGCGAAGACAGGCGTGATGGTTTGTGGTGTGATAGGTCTGCGCTGGGGCCAGGGGGGCAGCGGTGGCCGGAGCAAGGCTGCGGTGATAAGTTACAGTTCCTGCGTGGCATGCCTGTGATTCTGTGCTATAAATATCGCCCTTTTTTATTTTAGGTCAAAGCCATTTACATTCACTCCGATATGTTCTCAGTGCAGAACGGTTTGTTGACACCTACATTAAAGGCTAAGAGACCAGAACTAAGGGATTACTTCAAAAGACAAATTGAAGAGCTATATTCAAGCATCTCCATCTGAAGTCGCGGGAAGAATCCTCGGACTAGCGGACTTTGTAGCAACGCTAGAATAACGCTCGGAAGTACAGAGCCAGAACGATACAGCCAAAATGGAGAAGCACCTGAATCTTATATCTGAACCTTTCATTGTTCCAGGATTTCACCACTAACCATAATTTCCGTTTTCCTTCTTTTTTCATCAGATGTGGCTACAGTCTGTTTTTACTCTATGTACACAGTAGGAGACTACTAAAAATTATGTTCAATACCCACAAAATACACAAAAATGTCAATCCATTTAAATTATGGAAACTTATTATTAACTACAAATGTTTCTCATTAAAGAGAGGGAAGAATTTTAGGTATGTCTCTTGCTATCTGATTGTATATAACTTAATAGATAAGGAACTAAAATTGTTGATAATGTGGTCTACCTCAAACAATCAGCGAGTGATGGTGAAAGTCTATTCTCCCTGATCTGGAACTTCCAGCTGGATATTGGTTTATGTAGTAAGTGTTAGTTTGTATATGCTGCAGGATATAAATTACATTGAGTTGAGTTAATCATTAATGACCTAACAACCGCAATAGAAATAGGAACAAATCTCCTGGTATTTGTTCTTAATAGGCTTTTTAGTATATTATACTTAAAGGAAAAGGCCAGATTAGCATTACCTTGAAATGACAAGGACGTGTTAGGAAGCCATAGGATAGAATTCCCTCTACTTCCTTTTCACCTGAACTCAGTTGATACGTGGCGCGCTGGTTTTCCATTAGGGCCACGCGTGGACATCAGCACTACTCAAACCGGGAAGGTTGCTGAAGCATTGCCAGCTCTAGAGCAGCTTTCTGTGGGAGTTCAATAATGCAAAAAAGCTGCACCAGAGAGAGAGAGAGAGAGAGCGCGTGCAAATGAGTTCACACTAACCCATACGCTCCCCATCCCTCCGCTATTACTTAACATGCTGCTAGGGCTGGGTAGCCCAGTCAGACTCGCTCCCTTCCAGAGACAGTGTTAAAGAAGAGAAGCACAATGCAGTTGTAAATGGGGCTTAGCAAAACAAATGTATTTCAGAGAAAGGCTAGCCTCCGCAGTCTGCTGAAACGCAGTAGTGAGGGCATCCTCAGGGTAGCTGCAGAAGAGGAAGAACTGTTCCTCCATAAGGCCCAGGGTGGGAGGAAGGCTTCGTCACCCACTTCCATTGCAAGGTGTCACGGGGCGGCGAAACGTTGGACGTGACTGCAGAAAGGCCTGCCGGGACCCCATCTCTGCGTTTGGACATTCGGCAGCCTCAGCTCCCACTGTTGCCGCTTCCAGTGGCCTCTCTGGATAAACAACAACGAGGCTGGGTGAAACTGCAGCTTTCCGAGCCAGCGGAGCCATTGGGAAGGGGCAAGTCCCTGGTGGGACAGGAACAGACTCTAGCACTCGGTCCTGACATGAAGCATGGTACAACAGAAGGAGAAAACTGTACAAGTCAGGTAGCTTGAATATCTGGACTGTTGGTGGCCTCCTTCTGCTAAACAGGGTCTTAAGTATATATGCATATTTTAATAGCTGCTGTGTGTTGCACCAGTGCGTACTAGCATGGAGCTGTGCCTGCTAGATCTTCTTTGCTAGGGCAGAGGAAGCACACTTATCTTCTCTCTTAGGCTGGAATGCACCGTAGACTTTTGAAGCTAAAAGATTAAATTATTAATCTAAATTCTTTCTTATTTTCCCTTTGAAATTCCATTGCATGCTTTAAAAAATGAAATAAATTGAATTAATCCGTAGTTTTACACAGAGACTGATTTATTGCAGTAATTTCAGGACAAAATGATACAAAGGAAACTGTTAACCTAATCACTCACATAGAGGAAGTGGTGATTGATTAATCAAATATGGAAGTGTTGGTCTGAATCCCTTTTATGCCTGATTGTTCATTTGCTTCTGCATAATCCTTCCTATCAGTCCAAAGCAAGTAAGAAATACCGGCACTGTGATCTGATGGTATTTCACATCCGTTTTTCACTGACGTAGACAACAACAGGTTCACTGGGGAATTTGAGTGTGTCATATCTACGGAGGATACGAATTATTGCTGCCAGCTACAGAATCCGGCTCTTTAGGTCCAGCTGTAAAGGATTTTCATCTTTGAGGAGTTTCATTCATCTCGTTTTTGTATCGGCCAAAAGACAGTAATTACGTATGTACGCTTCAAAGCAATGAGGAATTAGACTCAGTGCAATTTCTTCCCTGTTTTAATGCAACCTGCTTTACAAAAATGTAACTAGTTATATTTAAGTAAATATAAAAAGCTATTTTCCACTGACCCTTTTCATGACCGCATGAGTTTAGTTTACTTTTCTCCTAAGGTGCTTTCAGTTTATCGGCCTTTTCTTGATAATGGACCTCTAACTTTGTGAAAGTGCAGAAGATTCTAACATGAGTTTACTTACGGCTGGGCTGGCTCTTTATTTTTTATGTAATGCTGTTTTGTTAATAAATAACATATCTGTAGGCTTCTTTTGATATTTGATGCAAAATATGAGATGTACTAATGATGTGAACACCAAAAGAACAGGAAAAGCAAAAAAAAGAACTTGACCACACTGGGGTGATATTTTGGGAGAAATTGTTTCAATTGTCACACCAAAAGTGTGAATATTTCCAGATCTTCTGAGAAGCTGTATGAATAAACTAAAGCTGTCTCTGATACTTTTTTTTGTAATCAGATTTTCCTCTGAAGCACTGTGTGCCCCATGCCCATAACAATGTTGTAAGAGATTAAAACTTGACATGAGTATATGCGTAAGGACTTATTTAATGAGCTAGGCACAAACATGCTTCTCCTCAAATTCCAGGAATATCGTCTTGCTTTGACTTTTCGTAAACTTGCATACTGATTGTGACCACCACAGAAAATCCCCAGGGTTGTCCAATAACAAGTTTATTTTTTCTCAAGGTAACTAGTTACAAGATTTATTTTTTTTAGATGGGGCTTACTGAAAGATTCACAACTCAAGTGCCAGTTACCCTTCTCTGTAAACAGACCTGTTCTTGATGGCTTAAAAATGACTGCTTTTAACTAATCACTACCATGTAGGGGTTCGTTCTGCTGTCAAGAAAATGAGAAAACACAGCAAGCCCATGGAAATCAGCAGCTTTCAGTCCTGCTGTGGGTGGACTCAGCACGCAATCAGAGCCCTGAGCAATCCTATACCCACTGCCCCAGAAGGCTATGTATTACGTATGCTGCCATTAGTGATTTATTATATTCTCTTACCTATTAAAAACTGGAGATTGTTCCTAGGTCTGGTGCTATGCCTTTGGAATCACTGGAAGATTGTCTCCAGTGCTTGTATATGAAAACCAGAATAAAATACATCTTCCAAGAAGAGACTATTGCTTAGTTATATACTTTGTTCTTTGCTCAATGTAAGTTGCACAGACAAAAATACCACTCTGCCTCAGAAATGGTCAAAGACACACAAAAGGGTGAGCAGAAATCATACACAAAATCAGTATTGTGTCTTAACCCCCCGTTGGCAGGAAATATACAGAATTTTTCTGTAATGAAAAGTACATTTGCAGGTTAAAATAGTTGATAGATGTCAGATGAAAGTGAGAGGGTGAGTTCTTTATTGATAAACTACTACTTTGCGATCTGTCACTACTGTTAATAAGTGTATATCAGCATCAGTAATGGCCAGTTGCCATGGGTATGATTTTATTGCATATAGCAGAAAATAATTTGGCTTAAATAATCTTCTGGAATGAAACAAATTAACTATAGAATTTTTATTTTCCATGTGTTAAAAGCACAAACCGGTGATCTATATGTAAATAAATTGCTACAAGATGAATGTAAACTGGGAAAGAATATACTATTTTTGCATGGTAACAAATTACTTAAAGACCTCTTGATGCCTTACGGAAGACTTGGAAAAGCATTTTATTTAGAGGCAATTCTGCGTATTTTTCGTTTCTCTAGCTCACTTCGGTTTTGTCTAGGAAAAACAAGGATATCGGAATTAGATCTATGTTTCTCCTTGGAATTAACTTATTCTTCAGCACTTTGCACATTTATAGGTTTCTGTGCTATATATACTCCAGTTAAATGATGACATTGAGGCTATTCAGCCGTTTGGATGAGAAATCTGGGAACTTGTAGTAAGTGAGAGGGAAACAGTTTTAGATCCCTGGAATTGTTACAAAATAAAATATTTTCTAAGGCATCCAGAGCCCCTTTAAGCCCTTCACTTTATTACAGCTTTTTTGTTACGTATTTTAGCAAGTACATGCAGCAAACAAACGAGGCATCTTCCCACGTGTTGCCTACTTTCAACAGAAGGTGAAGGGGTTAAAATATAACATTTGTGTAAAAAAAAAATTGTAATTAAAGACTTTTTTTCAGTTTTGGTATATTAGCATGTGTATCAAAGTCATCTCTGGAAACTTTTGTAAAGAATTAAATTGTCACATTTCTCGAAACTGCTGATTGTTGACTGACATACAATAAAATCTCTTTTATAAAAGCTGTTGTTACTCCAGCGCTCTGTCCTCCCCGTCGGGATGAAGTCGCCCAGAGCGCGTGCCTGCCCTCAACACGTTGCAGAAAACTAAGTCAGATAAAACAAGGACCAAAGGAATATCGGACCCTGAGATCTGCAGATAGATAAATAGTTTCAAAGTTCGCCGACGATCGCCATGCAGCAGTCTTTCCGTAATGGTTTCAGTTCTTATTTTAGAACAATAATAATATAACCAAATGTATATGCTTGTTTAATACGACCTGACAACTGGGAATGCATAGTATTTTTTCAGACGATGTATCTAAAAACAATAAAGTCTAAAAGCATTCGGTCTCTGCTCCGGTTTTTATCCCTCCCTTCACTGGTCATCCGGGAAATCCCAAGAATTACCTGAATTGTTCGGGCTGCAGAAGTAATGAGATTCACCTCTAGGAACGTAAGCTGAGGGACTAACAAGGTCTGATGATAAAAGGAATGAAACGTACACTGTTCTGAGTGCAAGTCGGATTATAAAACCATATGTATGCGTATGTATTTATTAGGTAAAAAGAGCGAAACCGAACAGCAACACCCAGCGCACGCCGGCAGAGCCCCCAGGGAGGAGAGGGACAAGGCAGGATCATTCGCGGGACATGATAACGCTGCCTGGTCACGCATTTTTCCTCAGAAACCTCTGAAAACGGTTGTTACTGAAGCGGCCTGCGTCATTTTCGAAATGTCCTTTTTTTTCCTTGGCTTTTTTTTTTTCTCCTTGGCCTTTCCCTGAGCTGTTCGGGGTCGATGCTGGTTAGCCCTGTACCGATATTACGCTCTTTCGGCATAAAACTCTTCAAGTGTTTATCGATATAACGGTTAAGGGGGGGTGGGGGAGGACCCGGCGCCGGCAGCCGACTTTTGCGAGCCTCCCGGCCCCACCGCCCTCCCCC